CTTTACATTAGTGTCGAGGTCGAAGTTTGCCGTTTCTTTCTGGCGCAGCCTAGCAAAAAAATGTTAGTTACATCAACTTCGCGCGCGTGTACCGATCCAATATTGGCCTATGGAGTGCCGCACGCGGTACTACCGGGCCAAAAATTGGCCTGGGGAGTGCCGTGGGTGGCACTACCGGGCCAGGGCCTACCGGCCCAGCGGGAATTCGCTACCGGCCCACCGATCGTCTCCAAAACGATCAATATGCAATCTGGACCACGTGGTTCAACGCCGAAAACGGTCCAGATTGCGAGTTGATGACATCATAAACGATCAGCAGCCAATATGGACCGTTGTGCGCCAACGAAACGGAGGGCCCAGATTGGCTGCTGGTCACAGGCCACCAAATAGTCATTGTTATAATCTAGTGATCCAGCCTCAACTTCTCTTTGGCCCTCTAACCAAACCCAGTGGAAAGAACAACAATCAAGCCCGCTCTGTGTGTGTGCACATCCACATAGTCTATCAGCAATGGAGGAGGGGGAGAGAGAGATAAAGCCCGCTCTGTGTGTGTGCACATCCACATAGTCTATCAGCAATGAAGGGGGGGGAGAGAGAGAGAGAGAAAGAGAAAGAGAGAGAGGGAGAGAGAAGAGCGGGGGGGGCAGAGAGAAAGAGAAACACCTGTCATATATTTGTTCTTATTGATGCACTAGTGTAGTCAAAGTCGGGATGCAGGCAGCTCCACTTAACTTCATCAACGTGGCGAGCCTTGTATGAGAGAAGCACAGTAAAGGGGGAGCTAAAAGAAGAAATGGTCAAAAGAACGGTTTCAGTGTGCTCTTTGTGCTCATCTTCTGTATGTTTACCCTTTATTGCACAAAGTGTTTTTTTTTACTGGATAGATATGTGACAACATATATATGGCAGTCGTTAATGCTTAACCGCATCCGGGGTTAAGGTGGATAATCACTTAACAGTATCACCGACTTGACAGACTGTAGAGGGTTCAGCCTCCTGATGAGTCGGTGAAACTCCGACGAAAGAGTCTATCTCAGCCCCTCGTTTGTTGTCCTCTTCTCTCTCTCTGCCTACTATTCACCCTGTCTCTTATACACATCTAGATGTGTATAAGAGACAGACATATATATGGCAGTCGTTAATGCTTAATTGCATCCGGGGTTGAGGTGGATAATCACTTAACAGTATCACCGACTTGACAGACTGTAGAGGGTTCAGCCTCCTGATGAGTCGGTGAAACTCCGACGAAAGAGTCTATCTCAGCCCCTCGTTTGTTGTCCTCTTCTCTCTCTCTGCCTACTATTCACCGGGCAGTTCTCTGTGACTGTGACAATATACGTGACAATTTATATCATACTTGCGGCGCATCCCGTGCGAGCCACTCGCGCACATGCAGCACACTGCGCATTGCGCACATGGCACGCACACCCGGTGCGCCGCATGGGCAAAATTTGGGGTCAGCCAAAAAAAAAAAAGGTTGGGGAGGGGGTGAATCGAAGTTCCCACGCCCAGCCAAAATTAGGTCATTACCCTCGCAATTTTTTTCCAGGGCCGCGCGGCCCCAAAAACTGTGTGTTGTCATGTTTGCTGTACACAACTCCATGCTATCTTCAGTGTATCTGAGTATTTTCAGGGGTCCAATACGGTCATGATGAGGACGCATCTGTGGAACCGTTGCTTTCCTCTCATTACTTCCAGATACAGAAAACGACAGAACTGACAGCTGTGTTTCCTTGGTGCTTTTGCAACAAAAAAAAAGAGAGAGAAAGAGAACGTCCGTGACAAGTTGAAAACCAACAACGTGGAAACATGCAGTCGCTATACACATGCACAAACGACAAAAAATATGGTGATGTATCTTTCCATGTCTAGTGAAAGATTCATTCTAATTTTGCACAAATTGGAGAGTAGTCGAGTGAGGCCCTAATACAACTTACCTGCCACCAGAATCCATAGGGCCTCTCTCAACTACACACGTCCGTTGTAGTGGCTCTGTCACATGAGGACTGCAAGTAAGCTCAAGTCCAGCTGTAGTCTGGTGCGATGCAAGGGCCTTGATCCACTACTCATGCACAAAAGACACAAAATATGGCGGTGTATCTTTCCATGTTCTAGCGGAAGATTCATTCTCATTTTGCACATTCGGAGAGTGGTGAAGCGAGGCCCCAAGCTACCTTTGTATGGCCCTCGCTCCACCACTCCCCAAAAGTGCAAAATGAGAATGAATCTTCCGCTAGAACATGGGAAGATCCACCGCCATATTTTTGGCTTTTGTGCATGTGGAGAGCAGTGGAGCGAGGCCCTATCAGTAAACAGGCTGTAACCGTTTCCCAAATAAGACAAAAACAAATAAGACGAAAAAAAAAGGAGCAACGGGCCTATCGGGCTGAACAAAACGCCCTCTGTCGAGAATCAATAGTGTCCGCAGGTGCGCGGGCATGGGGGCCACTCGGCCGTACTCCAGTGCTCTGCCCATGCACACTCAGTGCGCACGTGCGCACACATCCCCCGTGAGCACGTGGCGCACGGCGCACCGCTTAAGTGCGCCACAAGTATGATTTACATACTAACGTAACCACTATATAGGTAAGATTCGGTATACAACATATGTGTAGTACATACTACATAAAATATAAATGCACAAATGATTCATAAAATAAACTATACAAAGACATGAGAAAAGAGTCAAAAAGACGAAAGTTATTTTATTCATCAATGTAACTTCTGCAAGGAACATGAATATGGACGAAGCACAGAGATCCAGAATGCAAAATCACACTGAAGTCCAAGTAGTCAAAGCCAGAGCAGATAGCACAATGGAACCGAGTAACCATCCAATTGAGAATGATACAGAAG